TTTCACATTATATATATATATATAACATATTATATATAACATAATATTATAAATTTATATATAATATTATTCATTTTTAAAATTTTAATTATTAAAACTTAAAAAACAATAAAAGTGAAACACTAAACTAAAACCCTCGATAGAGGGAAGAGAGAAGTCGAGAACTCTCAACTCTGTCTCTAGAATAGCTAAACTAGTGAACCCTAGCTTCGTGCCTTCTCAAGTGATAGAGAAGAGATACTCAAAGAAGAGTTCCAATTGTCAATCCTTCTAACCTTTGTTTATCGTCGTTGACCGCCGTTGTCGTGACACCATTGCCCGTCAGACTCTCTCTCGTCGCCGACCTCAACTCTCCAAACAGTCCTCTCTCTCTCTCTCTCTCAACCTCTCGGTCCGTTGGGGATTCAGATCTCCAATGGGGAATTCATCCCTGTCGGGGTCAAGGATGGAGGGGGGATTCCTTTCCCCGCCGGGGATTAGGGACAGGGACAGAGGGTGATTTGGGGGTTGGGATCGGGGATGGGGAATGTAATCCCTTCCCCAAACCCGTCTCGTTGCCATTCCTACTCGACTATGCATTCTGATGCTCATCAAGATTTACTGCAAAAGACATCCATTTTGATTCAACCTTGACTGGTTAGAGGTCTCAGTCGTCTAATCCTTCGGAATTTGATTTCGTTGGCATTATGTTAGGACTTCTACAAGGGGATTTGCCAATAAAGATTTCGTAAAGAGGTAGTGATCATCAGAAGATTGAGAGCTCTGGTTCGGTGGTCCCCAAGCTTGAATGGTTTAAGTTTCATCATTTTTAGGCAGAGGAGGAGAAAGATAAATTTAAAATTTCCTTTGATGTATAAAGTAGGGATCGAATTTGGGCCATCCATAATCAGATTGGGCATCAAAATATGATAAAGAGGAGGAATATGCGTTGATCCTGGAAAGATCATTCCCATCTACTACTTGTTGGCAACTTGGAATCTAAGTTTCCAAGTTGCCTCTTGCATAAATCCACAACAGAATCAAGATCGAATGAGCCCTTAGCTTCGGGCTTCTAATTCTGTGGCTAAAATGTATGCTTGCAGCAGATGGCTACCATCATTCAATTCTAGTTGTTGACTGGTTGGTGTAGGTATCCATAATAATAATAACAACAACAATAATTAGAAAAATGCATCAAAGTTTATTCTGCAAATTGTTCATACAAAATGGTCCAAGATCAATGTTGATCTGCTAAAACCCTAACATGTAACCACTCTGTACAAGTAATACATCCATTGGAACACTGGGATATATATGATCAATGTTGGGTATCATTCGATGCATAACAGATCAGCGTAATGTTCTCCTTCTGACTCAATACTCCTTTTATCTTCTGTCAAGCCTGTTTTCTGTCCTACCATAAACAATTATGGACTTTAATGCCTCCAAGGCTGCAGAATGTTTGAGCAAAGAAATAGAAATATGGAAGGATATAAAAAAAATGCTTCACTAGTCAATAGGAGATATTTTACCGAAGATTTCCTTGAGACAAATTCCTATAGAAATACATATTTCTGTCAAGCCCAATTAAAGATTGAATTAATATGAGTACAAAATCAGAAACATATTTGATGGTACACTACGTTCATCATCAACCTGCAAGCTTTGAAAGAAGATGATGCATTGAAGATATGTTTTCAGCCTGAATCAAATTCAGGAATTGCTCAATATTAGATTTTATTTTTGATAAACCGAAGACATGACGTAGTTTTGCCTTTCCCACCATCACAAGCTGAGAACAATATGGTATTCAAGGAGTTACTTGCGATGTGACCAACATCTTAAAACCATTCCTGGAATAAAGAGAAAGCAAATGAAACTCCATATTATCCAACCAAATGTATTATTGTAGACAACATCTTAGAATCCCAAGGCTCATTTTTCCCATTTTTTTGATAAGTAAATATGTTTCATTCCAAATATACAAGAACAAGTTTCTCAAATCTCCAATACAGCATAGCTACAAACTACAAATACTGAGATGGAATTGTCCTGAAGTCATAAATAACACCAACTCCAAATATGGAAGTAAAGTTGTTTACCCAATCTGCCAATTATAGTAAAAGTTCCTATCCTATCAAGAACAAAGTGATGAACACACCTAAGCTTTGTAAATTTAGGTTTGCAGAAACAGTCAACCATGCCCAAATATTAGTGAGCCAATTCCCTTTCACCCTGTAAACTATGTTCACATAAAACCTATGAATCCTTCAGCTAATAGTACAATCTGTCACTGATTTTGTCCTGCATATAAAGTAAGGCAATCCTCTCCCATCTTGAAACACCTTAAGAGATCATAGATCAGGATCTTCCACAAAAAACTATGCAAAACATAAATTTCGTGTGGCTCAAGTAGTCCTGTGGGACATCTATTATATTTGCATTCTACACTCAAGTATGTTCTGTGCTTTTTACTTCCTGATTTCTCTGTTGAGCTTAAAAAATATAAATTGCCTTTGTGACTCAAGAGAAAGGGGCTTTTTAATTTCAGTATCAGATAGTCTACCATTATACGGCAATTCATGGCATAGATGAGTAACCAATCAATTATATATAGGACCCAACAGTATTTTCATATAAGATGCCGATCAGTTATTCATGTCTGAAGTTTCTTTCATGAACATCATAATAGATAACCTAGTAACATATTCCTACTTATAAATATAAAGCCTATAGGTGGAAATATCTCCTCTTTGTTTCATAACATGTGAATGCGATCAATGGTCCAACATTACTATCAAATAAAAGCATTAGTGGGCATTTCATACTTGCCTGCTGCCACCATTCAATAACATAAGATATAGTGGATCTTTTGATGAGAGCTGGAAAAGTTGAATGACAATATATGAACAAGTTGTAATGCTGAAAATGGGCAAGAGAAAATATCAGTATTCATTCAAAAAATATATTTCATAGTATATATAAAGTATCTATGGCATTGTAACTTAAATTTTGGACATTCACAAATGTGAAAGAGAAGGAATTTTCTCAAAATCTATTATATAATTAAAAGAAATAGCTAAACCATGAAAGGAAGATTGCTGTGCCTGCCAAAGTTACACTTGAAACCATACTCAACAATAAATAGAAATATTCAAGATAGGAAAAAGAATATGCCAAGTTTATGTTCATCTCATACAACATGTCATAACAAGAAATACCCAAAAAGGAATAAAAAAGGAAATAAGAATGTGACTGAGGGTTCGAGTCTGAGAGTGGCCACTTTGTGCAAGAAATTCCAAAAGTTAGGTTTGTACCCAGTCCATCCCTCTCAAGACCCAAGATAGCTGGGACTAGACCTATTCATGGGCCGGGTAGCCCGACGGCCCGGCCCGCACCCGGCCGGGCTTGGTCATATAATTAGGCCCGCGGGCCTGACCTCGGGCTTAACACAGTAAGCCTGACTGTGTTTCGGGCCGGGCTCGGGATTTGTCAAAAAAGCCCAGCCCGAGCCCGGCCCGGCCCGACTCAGTATTATATATTTTATAAAATATATAATATGTATTTTATATATTATATAAAATATATAAATAATATAATATTTATTAAAATATATATTTATAATTTAATATATATATATATATATTTTATTCTTTTCTTTATAATTTCAATCTATCTCTCTCTTTATTCAGCTGCTTCAACATTAATAATAATAATAATATAGGCTAAATTTCGGGCCCGGGCCCAGGCTCGGGCTTCGGGCTTTTTATGAGGGCCGGGCTCGGGCCCAAATTGTAGGCCCGATGGTCGGGCCGGGCTCGGCCTCGGGCCTTAAAAAAATTTGTTAATACATAGTAAAAGCCCGGCCTGAGCCCGGCCCGGCCCGACCCATGAACAGGTCTAGCTGGGACTACATTAGGTAATGGTCCTTTTATATTTCCATCTGAAAAAGTAAAATATAATTAGTTAATGCTCTCAATAACTTACCTGGGACTAAAAACGATGACTAGTCAAGCTAGGGTTTGAGGCCCCATAACCTAAAACAAGTCTGATATTCAGAGAACGGGGACCATCATTAAGGAGGTCCAAACAAGACTTACTGGGTAAAAGATCAACTTAGAACATGATTGCAACCACATATATTTGTGGCATAAATTTAGCAAGTTGAGAGAACTACTATTGGAACTCTTACAAATCTCAGCAAACAGCATATAAATCTGATGGCCAGGAATAATATGACAATTCTGATTATTGGTGTAAAACCTCTCTTTGGTGAGTGGGTAAAAAATAATAGCAAAAAACTGTATAGATCAAATAAGAGAAGGTTGAGAGACTTAAATAGGCATCTTTCTCTTTGTCTCCCTTTTCTTTTTTTTTTACTCATTTTCTCTTTTAGCCATCTTCTCCTTGCTATGTATGTCATTTACTTGCCATTTTGACTTTTTTTTATTACTATATACATTTTTTTCTTTTGAATTATAGTGATTTAGTAAGTGAATCATATGAAAAATCATCCAATCACTGAATCCCCACTTGCTACTTTGGGAAAAGATTTAAAAAATGATGAATTTAATGAAATATCAAAAAGCTTCTAATAATACTCTAAAGTTTTATGTTGGGCAGTATGGAGCCATAGAATCTTCGGATCTAATTAAGAGGCAATAGAAGTAGTTATTGGCAAGGTGGAGCAGGCAATACAGAGTTGGGCTGGGTGCTCACGCCTTTTTGTGGGGGTGCCAGCTGCTCATTCTCTGAAAGTTGGTTGTCTATTATTTTTTGAGCATATTTTGCATAGGAGCTGAATGAAAATGATCTGTGCATATTGATATAGATGCACTTTTTGTACTTTGGTGAGGATTTCTTGCCCTCTCTCTTTACATCTTTCAAAAAAAATCTAAAATTTTAAAACTTGAATGTGTAGTTTATCAATGAAATTTGAAATATCGCCAACATATCAGCAAAATATTGGAGATATTAGGAAAAACACATTCTTAAAAAAGTTTGCATCACAACCTAGAAAAATGGGAAAATTTCAGGAAAATTTTGCCAAATCTTGCCGATATTGTGAGCCATGAATGGCACATTAAGGGGCCCCAAAATGCAACCATAGATCCTGTAGCTCCAGACCCAAGACGGTCTCTAAAATAATATCAAGATTATAAAATACTATTTTAACATTTTATATATCGGAACATAACACATACACTTCAGAACAGCATGTGAATGTGATCAAGACAACTTTGGAGCAAATATCCATGGAAGATATAGCATGTAAAGGCTTGGGAAGTAAAATAAGGAATTATGGTTTATTCTTATGCTACTTATAAGCTTAAGCCTGAACAGAGGGGAGCCAAGAAACCTTGGAATAATTACAGGGTCAGGTTTGATAGTTGAAGATTTTGTATCATAGATTGTAGTCAATATAAATAGAACAGAGCACATTGCATAATTTTATCTTAATGGCCAGAACTTGATATCCATCAAATGTAACCCATCCAAAGAAAGGATCCCCATTAACATTGTAATATGAAATGCACTGGAGAACTGTATTAGCAGATATATGTAATAACTAAAATTTTGAGTGTTGGACGATTACCTTCCCAAACATATTAATAGAACTATCCAAATGAATGCACCTATCCAACCTGATTCTTTGTAGGCAATCCAAACCTGACATGATAAATTTGTATAGAAGAACACATGTAAGATAGAAATTAGAAAATGGGTGAAAACTATAGTCAGTACTTTATTAGTGAACACATGAATATTCCGAGGTTAAATTCTGATAGAGATAATTTTCTTAAGGCTCTAATTTTCAAGAAAAGTAGAAAACACTATCACATAAATAACTTTTAAACAGAAAGCATGACCCAAGAGAGTAGTGACAACATACTGATATAGCCACAACATTAATATAAAAGTCAACCAGTGTTGCGGCCATCCACCTGCAAAATGATTATCATAATATCAAATTAATTTAACCAAGTGGTAAAGTTGCTGGACTAATAATAGTTATTTCATGACTCTCTATGCTTTACAAAGATGATTCCACAAAAGGAAATGATTTTTGCAAGCCAAACTGACAGTTAAGAAAAAACTAAGGGCAACATAATCTAGTAATACACTAACAATTGGAAAATATGCCAAAATAGTAGGCTGGCTAGAATTCCACTGGTGCTTGGCCAGTTAGCCATGTCATCCCTTCCAAAGTGATATTACAATTTACAAGGCTTCCAGTTGCCTCCAAGATGGTGTCTGTTTTATTTAAAGTCCCTCAGACAAAATATAAAACGTGTATATCAGAGTTGCACCAGTTTATTACCATCCATCTATTCCAACTTCATGGATAAGCTCAAAAATAGAATGTAGTCTGCTGAGATATTCAGGAGAAAATAAAAGAATACATTATAAACATTCTCTAGCCATGTATTGTCCTCTAGTAATGGTCATAAAAGCATTCAGAAGCCCATTAGGTGGAGAAATAGCCAAAGGTTGGTAACTTGCATGAAAAACCTCATATATTGGCATCATTAAATCTTGGAAGCTTGTAAGATTTATGATAAGCCTCATAGTGGTAATGAAGAGGATTAAATGAAGCATCAACTAACTCTCCCTAGACATGTTCAGTTGTCCAAAATTGATATAAATTAACATGAGAAAATCTAGTAACACCAAATTTTTGCTAACCTTCACCATAGCCAGTTAAAACTAGTAAAATAGTTTCAGCTAAATTGGGGTAGGGAGAGGAGGGGAGGGCAACAACATTCTTCATTGCAGTTCCATACATAGTATGTGATAACCTTATTTGAGAATAAAACACCATAAGGTTGGAATTATCGAATTTGCAGATCTTTGAAATGCAACCCAAAGACAACCTAAATGAATTATTTGTCAAAAGAACCATAATACTTCTCTTGGGAACATTGAGAGTTCCAGTTATATGAATATTAGATTCATCAATTTGGTACTGACCACCATGAAAGGACACGGTTTACCATGCAAAATGTAACTTAAAATTTAAAGAGTAAGGAGTCACAAGTGGTGCAATATGATGTAGAAGAGCATAACTTCAGCAATTTCATCTCATCTAGTGAAGATTGAGACTAAGAAGAGCACATCAAGTGAATTAAATTTATCTGGAATACTTATATAACAACTATTTAGATCAAACAGAAATATACCAATTTATATATCCCAATTTGATCAAATAAAACTGCGGTGATAATTAAACATTTAAGAAAGAGAAATTCTTTTTTGGTAAAAAAAATAATAAAAATCCAAATAAAAGAATTTAGTTATGATTTATGGGAATCTATGCTAATTAATAAGCTATTAATGGCAATATGGCAGGCTTGTTCCCCCAAGATATGGGTTCAGAACTTCAGATAAAGTTCTGAAGATTGTACCTTGAGTCTCAGATTGTACCTTTAATCTTTCAATGAATTGTTATTTGTATTAATGAAGAGCAAAGTTCCACGGAAGAAATACTTACGGTGTCAGAAGCTCTTTGCGGAAGGGGAGACCATCAATTAAGAGAGTATAAATCAGAGTTCCCAGCATTAAGCAACCCAATGTGCTAAAAAGAACTCTTGCAGCCACAACAAAGGAAAACTTCCCATTTCTTTCAATATCATCCCTAAAGAAATTTAAATTCACCAAGTGAGTGATTCATACTTAAGGTAGAGATGAAAGATGACCATTTCTGTCTGGGCCTGCATTGCCCAGCACACCCCATCCCAGAAATTTCTGGGCCTGGGCAGAAGTTTTTCCTCCAAGCCCAGCTAGGCATAGCATGGGCCTGCGTCAAGCCCGCCAGGCCTAGTACCTAAAATGTATGTATGTATCTTACCAAAAAAACTGTATGTATGTATATGACAATAAAATTTTGTATATAATTTCTTAATTTTGAACATAAACTTAAATTTAAATTTTCAGTTTCTTTTTAAATAGTTTTGTTAACTTATGTGGGAAAGCCTGGATGCCCAGCCTGGCCCAATGATTATCCCTATCATAAGGAAAAAAGGAAACCAAAAGAAAAAAAAGAAAGATGAGTTATGCATAGTTGTGAGCTTACTTATTTTTGTGCCTCAACAAAATATGGCACATGGGATCTTGTAAAGAATCTTGATGTGAGAGCTTGAAGAGTTGCAGAACAATATAAGTGCAAGTAGTAATGCTGAAAAAGGAATGGAGGAATCAATATTGACAAGTAATCATACTGTCATATACCATATGACTATAAACAAAATAATTATGTGAATGATATAATAGGTAATTCAAGAGTAATTAGGCATTAGTTAGAGATGTACAATTATTATATAGCTCATATAACAAAATTACAAAGTAACAGAATATATTACAATTAATTTTCAAATTGTCCATATTTAAACAGAACCATTTAATACCTCTCTATAATTCTAAAGCAACTGGAAAATGGGAAAAAGTGGAAATGCAACGTGGAAATGAAAAATATGAAGTTTTATATGGTACAAAAGTGTGTTTCTATAAATCAAATATTCCATGACACACTAATCCAGGAAAAACTACATGTAGCAACAAATTGTAATAGCTTACAAATTGATCATAGAGTATGCGGGATACAAGGAGTATGGGTGGCCAGCACTTATCCATTACATAGAATCTTCTCCTGTCTAGTTCTCCAAAGAGTTTTAACATCCCAAAAAGAATGAATACAACAAATAGCTAAAATCATAGAATCAAGTTAATTTTTGTGGCCTCTTGGATTTCTAGGAGGGACTATCAAATGCTTGGTTCTCACCTCCTATATGTGTGTTACAATTATAAAATGCCATCTAGAGACAACAATTAAATGATAATAATCTGGAGCTGCATATACCTAACACTAAGGCAACTGCATATACCTAACACTTAGAGGAAGGTTATGTATCTCCCCTCATGTTTGTCCTCTTTGCCTTGGTGATGGTGAGACAGCTAATTACATTCTTCTCCACTACCCTGTCACAAGGAAGGTTTGGTGTTTCTTCCTAAACTTAGTTGGTTACAGCTGGGTTTTCCCTGAGAAGGTGGTGGACCTCCTGTGGCAGTGGAAAGGCAAAGGTTTAGGAAAAAGAGGAAGGGTATATTGGAGTACGGTGACACATGCAGTCCTTTGGGGTATTTGGGAAGAAAGGAACAACAGAACCTTTGAAAATAAATTTAGAAATGTGGAAGATATAATCTCCTACATAACTTTCCTCCATAACCTTTGGGTGATTAATTCTGAAGCTTTTAAAGGTCTGTCTCTAAATGACCTCCAAAGTAACCTTCCAGCCATCCTGCAGTCCTCTCCTAGATCTGAATCGACCATGAGAAGCCTTGTAGGAAGATGGTGGGATGACCCTAAAACTTTGATGGCAGTGCCCAAGGATCTACCAGCCAAGCAGGAATTGGTGGTGCCTTCCATGGGGAGAGGGTGATCATCTGGGCTTATAGTGGTCCGATTGGGAGGGTTGATGCTACAAAACAGAGGTCTTGTCAGCACTTACAGGAATTCAGCTTGCTAAACAGCTAGGTTTTTGCTCCTTAACTGTAAAAGGGAACTCTGCAAATACTATAGTGTGGCTAAGGGAGAAGGAAGGAGGGCCTTGGAGACTTGCACATCTGCTAGCTGAAGCTTGAGATATCTTAGAGTCAATGAATGTAAATCTGGTCTGGATTCCTAGGGAGGAAAAACACTGTTGCAGACAGCCTTGCAAAATCAGGGGTTTGGTTTTTAGGGAAAGCTTGTATAGTGACTTCTTCTTACCTCTATAATTCTGCCTCAGCTGCTTTATCTTTCAGTACATTCACTCATGTACTTCTTCCTGTTTTAATTCAATAAAAGTTACCCTTGCTAAAAATAAAAACTGCAATAAATGCAGATTTACCAATGTTAAGACAAACCTGAAAAAATTCGAAAATTGCAGATGACCATGAGGGAGAAAAACTAGTCAACATTATCCAACCAAGGTGGAACAATACCCACCATATATACCAGTGTTTTAAAAGGCGTGGGAGGCGTACGCCTGGAGGCACTCCCAAAACGCCCTGAAGCATATGCCAGAGGCGTTGACACCTCTGAGGCGTACACCTCAGGTGCAAGAGGCGTATGCCTCATGCACTTTTTTCATGAGGCGTGCTAGAGGCGTATGCCTTATACCAACATTCTATGCCTTTTTCTTTTCATATAAAAAAGGTTGTCCTTGCCAAATTCAAATGATAAAAGTGAAGAAATCTCACCTGCCAAAACATACTAGCAGAATTATCCAAGCTGCTGCACTAATCCAGTTTGATTCCTTGTATGCAACCCAAGCCTAAAGCATTTAAACAGTGTATAAGAATATCAGGGTTTCTTGATTTTTGAAGAAAAATAAATTTAACAAGAAAATCTTCCTTGGCTATATTGAGAAAACAAGGAACTGTTTTTTTATACACAATACACATATACTGAGCATAGTGCTGCCAAAACTGAGCATGCATATCCAGTTTGATTCCTTGGCAGCATAGTGCTGCCAAAACTGAGATTTCTTCACTTCGACGTATACTGAGCATGCATATGTCGAAGTACTGCAAAAAGTTTTCAGTTGGTTTCTAATTCAACAATTATTTTTTAAATGGTTATAAGGGAAACAATTATATACTGAGCATAGTGCTGGGTAGTCAAAAGAAACATGCCAATAATGAGAATTAGAAATGAACATATTGAAAGGAACTTGGGAGTTAGGAGTAGCCCTGAATCCTGATATGTAATAGAACGAGAAGTAGACTAACATAGTTTGCACACGTGCCTAGAAGACCATCTGTTGCACCAAAATGAAGAAATGGCAAAGTTGAAGGGTCTGTAAGAGCTAGTGGTAGGGCAAAAAGGACATGGACTGAGGCCGTGAGAAATGGTTTCAATGCTCACTAATTCATCATAAATATGGCCATTGACAGACTGGAATTGCAACACAGGATTTGTCTAGCTGAGCCCGTAGATTTAGGATAAGACATCAGATATTTAACTCAATGCATTTGATTTTCTACCTCTAAGACTCACACCTATGATGCCCAAATATGGATACTGTCACAGAAATCTACACAAGAAAGGGGGCATGAATCTCCATTTCCTAAAGCTAAATTTTGCTACTCAATATTTACATCTTGTCAAATTTACTTCTAACATATAGCGATTTTTTGTAGTATGATTTGGTAAAACACCATTTTACACATTTTAGAAGTATTTAGGCTATAAAGCAAACTCTAGAAGAATCCAGGCAGTATATAGTTCATATACTGCATATATCATGTCCAACACTGATAAACTTAGGGGTGCAAGTCAGGTTGGGTTAGGTCAGATTGCAGTCAACCCTCCCAACCCAAGCTGTGGAACCCTCAACTCTAACCCTTCAGGTTGGCCCAGCTTTTCTACTTCCTTTTTGTGAATAAACCCTAGTTGATTCTAGGTCAAAGTAGAGAAGAAGAAAGAAGAAAGAAAAGAGAAAGAAGGAGAGGAGAAGAGTGTTCGGCCAGACTAGAAGAGAGGATGTTCAAAAGTCACTCTCCTAGCTGACCCACTTGACTTTTATTCATAAAACTTGAGTTACAAGAAAGACAATTTTGTCCCTCATAGAAGATGGGGCACATAACTTAAA